ACGTAGGGATACAAAATAATTAATCGAGTTATTATTTGTGAAAGATTGTTGGCTCAAGTAAAATTCGTTGTGCCGTTAAGGCGTATTCAACAGTCACAATTATTATACTTCGAGAAAACCCATCACACAAACTGTGGACAAAGAGCTTTCATGAATAGGATTTTGTGCAACTTTACCTAGCATTGTTCTCGCTAAAATATTTTTAATTGTACGTTATATCTGTCAAGAGGATGATCGAACTTAAAAAAAATAGATTTTTTCAATTATCTTCTGGTTGTCTTATATGCTGTTGGACCATTTTTTTAACGCCAAATGTATTTTTAAAAATTTTATTTTGTATCTGTATATACAGGGTAGCTGTTAAAGATGGATCCAAACCTATAGTGCTTAAACGGTTTAACATACAAAAACCAAAATTTCCGAATTTCAACTAAATATATTTGTACATATTTTAGCCCAAAAATATTTTTTTTTTATAATTACAAAATTTTAAGCATGGCCGCCATCTTGATTTTTTTAAATAGCAACATAGGTCATGTTATATACCATTTGAAAGGGTTTATCACCCTAATTACAAAAATGTATCACACATGGGGTCTAAACACAACAAGAAGGATATTATTAATAGGGAGCGTAGGAGGCTGTGTATTTGACACAAGACGTCAAATACATACATTTTTGTAATCAGGGTGTTAAACCCTTTCAAATGGTATGTGACATGACCTATGTTGCTGTTTAAAAAAAATGAAGATGGCGGCCATGCTTAAAATTTTGTAATTATAAAAAAATAATTTTTGGGCTTAAATATGCGCACATATATTTAGTTGAAATTCTGAAATTTTGGGTTTTATATGTTGAACCGTTTAAGCACTATAGGTTTGGTTCCATCTTTAACAGCTACCCTGTATAATTGTTCTTTTTATACTTTAACTGTTTCAGTTTTAAAACTGTACTATTTGAAATTTAAGACATTAAATAAATAAGTAATAAAAATAGGAAAATGAATATTTGTGTGATATAATATAATATTAGCATCATATCCCAAAGAATTCTTTTGATAACAAAAGCTGTTGGATAAGAGAAGGAAAGCTCAAGCTTTGGTCAAGAAAATCGTGTATTAAGATAATAAATAGAAAAGTGGACGTTGAGGATAAAAAAGTTAGCTGTTTAAAAACACGCAAGATACTTCTTGATAAAAGAAAAACCTTTTCAATGTGTCTGAAAAACAAATTTTGAATACGACACATATGTTGAAATAGAAATTTAAGACCTGCTTAAAGGAAAAAGTATAAAATTCAGAGATAGAGGACAAAAAATGAAACCTAATTCCGAACGATTGCATGCAATTTTAAGAACATAATATAACCGTCACGGACATCGACGACAATGTGGATGGATTCAGCAGAGCGCCTGATTTTGAACGTATCCCTATGATGGCAGAAAAAATTAAAAAGACACTATGTATTTTTATCTACTCCCTATAACAATTAAGTATCTTTTACCGAATAATGCTAAAATGTATTTTACAGAAAGGAGTCGATTCACAAAACCAAAAATTTAGGTGAAATATCTTCTCCTTTAAATTTGTAAGGCTAGCGCCACATTAGGCAGACGTTCTGCCGCCGATCTTCAGCAGCAAAAGATAGTGGGTTTGAATATGTAAAGCGTGGTCGGTATAATGTTAGAATGAAACGACATCATTCATTGTCAGTACAGCTATTTCAGAGCCATCAAACAATATCACCAACAAAATTGTAACGTTATCTATTTTGGGCCGCGTTGTACAAAGGTTGTTCAACTGAAGATCAAAGTTGCTTTCAGATCAACCCAAAAAAATCATTGTACTGATTATTTGTCGACTATACTAGCGATCAAACCACGTTTAACGTGTTCAACAGCATAAACTTGAATATGTGAGGTTAATTTTGTATGTTATTATCAATTTGTGGTTAAATAATATCAACATTAAAGTTGGAAATGGAATTTTATCATTTAAAAGAACCAATAACTAATGATGTAGATTTTATGGAGTTAGTTGAAATGGAATTAAACCAGCAAGTGCCTGGGTTTTTCCGAGAACGTCCAACAATTTTCTGAAATGGAGGGACAACGAATTCATAAATAGGTTTAGAGGTTTAAATTGTCAAAGCCAATCGTTAGATTTCTAATTGATCAATTGTATGATTTAGCGCCATTCACAAGAAGGTAAGTACTTAATAAAACAAAAGATGTTTGAGTTACAGCTTAAAATTAATAATTACCAAATAACACACATGTAGAAAGTTAAAAATAAGTTTAGTAACATTTCTTTTTATTTCATAAGTTCAGCCCTTTCTACAGAGGAAATGATTTTTGCAACGTTACACTTTGTAGATACAGATTCATTTCTGAGACTTGTGGGGTGCATAGAAGGAATTGATCAGTCCACAGTTAGCAGAGGAATTGGTAAAGTACTTTCCTCAATTGTAAGAATTCGCGAAGAATATATTGAAATGCCTAC